CGAATGCAACTCTATCAAAAAAATTGTATGTATATTATAAATTTTAGACAATGATAAAAAAAAAGACCGAGTATTCTAGATGCGAGCATTTTCGAAAAAGAAAATTAGAGTGGATCTTATTTATTATTGTTATTATTGTTTTAATTACAACGAATTCAATTGTTGCCCTCAAAGCAAACAAGACAAACAGTGAAAAAACATCAACAACAGAAGAAATGGAAGTAACAACAGGTAGTTAAAATGAGATAATCATTTATTTTAAAGTTAATATACAATGAATTATTTCAAATGACAGAAGTAGAACTTCGTTGTTTATTATAGGAACTCATATATAATACTTCTAAACAACAATATCAAAAGTTTTTCTGAGATCCATAATGGAATTTTTAGCACGTAGAAAAATATTTATTAAGAGTTATTATCTGAGAAAGTCAGATATCAATCATAATTCGACACCTCAAGTTTCGCTTAATATTTTTTGTACGTTATAGATAGTGCGGCGTTAATATTAGTTATATTCGTTTTTTTCGATTTTCCCACGGTTTGACAGAATATTCTTTAATAACGGTGACTTTTAGATATGAATCCCTTCAAAAGCTTTGATCATTCTATAAGAACTTCTAAAATATCATTAGCAAAATGGATCTTACTCGTTTTTCCGTGTTTTCCTACTAAAATGTTGATCTCTCGCATTTTATACGGCAACGAGCAATTACTCTAATATTTGTGCTGTTGATAGAAGACATCCAGATCTATGTCATCTAGCATATCCATATAATACTCTTCTAATTCAAAAAAGATAGAAATGAAGTTGAAGTCTAAGCTCAGATTGGGTAGAGTTGGGTTGCATCAAGTCAAGTAAGTAACATATATCTATATGTATATATATAAAATATCTTGAGGGTGTGTGAAGTGATGACAATCACCCACACCACACTCAGTTGTTTAGTCTCAATCTAAAATCATTTTTCTAAAATAGAACTAACTACGACATCAACATCATCAACATCCACAACAACAGCAACACCGAGTGAGTACTATGTAAAACATTTGCAGTGGCTCAAAGGATGATTAATAGAAGCGACGATATTCGAAAGTTTTGATTTTAACTATTGAATGATCGTCATCCGAATAGACAACATTTCCTATCAGAAGTCGAAATAGGGCCAGTTTTTGATGTCTTGATTTGATCTACACCTGAATATTCTTGTCCTGTCCAACAGTATCGGATGAAAATATTGTTGATAAAAAGATTTTTATGTGATGGTACTCATTGATCATTTTAGTGCTCACTCACACCCACCCACTCTCAAGATAATTGGAGAACAATTCCACATATTGAAGTATTTGTATAGAGTTGAGGAATTCAAAAAAATATCGTAGTAATATAAAATGCAAACTTCAAACTCAAGAAAAAAATGCGTTTCATCGTCATCAATTAATCTTTAATGTACTGATTTTCTCTTGAGAACGATGTAAGAATTATTTTCTTTTACTCACAGTGACATCCTCATTGGTATTCATACTTATCTACACCGTGACACATACATACATCATCTATCCAAGGTGGTGGAAATACAGCAATGAAGTCGTTTATAACATATTTTTCATTAATATGATTTAAGATGTCATAATAAATCTTATCTTAATAATTGAAAACAAAGAGAAGTTTGTTGAGGTTTGAGATAATTTAATCCGACATCAATAGATAGACAATTTATACACATGAAAAATTCGAAGTCATTTTAACAACAACATTATTTTCTCACTGCTCTATCTTATTTAGAATGGACAATGACAGGAAACATGAATATCGAACGAAGACAACATACACAAACCACATTAACAAATGAATTAGTATTAGTTGCTGGTGGATACAACGGTAACAGTTATCTCAATAGTGCTGAATTGTACAATTCATCAACAGGCACTTGGACAACTACAGGAAACATGAGTGCTGCACGAGCATATCATAAAGCATTCACATTAAAAGATGGATCAGTATTAGTTGCTGGGGGAGAGAACGGCCATAATAGTTATTTGAATAGTGCTGAATTGTACAATCCATCAACAGGGACTTGGGCAACTACAGGAAGTATGAATGACGCACGACGATATCACACAGCATCCATATTAGAAAATGGATTAGTATTAGTTGCTGGTGGATCCGTCTCTGTTAGTTCTCCCATTGATGCTGAATTGTACAATCCATCAACAGGTACTTGGACAAACGCCGGGAGTATGAATGTCGCACGATGGCTTCACACAGCATCCACATTAACAAATGGATCAGTATTAGTTACTGGTGGGCGGGGTAGCAATGGTTTTCTGGATGGTACTGAATTGTACAATCCAGGAATAGGCACTTGGACAACCACAAGAAACATAAATGTTGTACGACAATATCACGCAGAATCTACATTAGCAAATGGATCAATATTAGTTACTGGTGGACAGAACAAGGGTGGTCATCTTAATAGTGCCGAACTTTATTAATCAATATAGATAGAATGACATTCTCTTTTGTGAACTAAATCATAATTTTTTTTATATGTAATCAAACTATTTAATCATTCACATTGCTTAATACATTATCACTCACTAAATAATATAAGAAGTAATATTTCGAAGTCATATTGTATGGGGATTGTTGAGAAAGAGCTATGGTTCATAAAAGATAGATCATTATTTGTACTGATAGAGTTGTAACCGGTCGGGTTTTTTTCTTATCGGTAGGAATCGGTTAGACCGGCATAGTTTTTTACGAGCTTATGATTTAATATATAGGAAAGTATGTGGATGTGAGTTTAATAATAAAAATGAAACCAACGTCCACACCCACCTCACCCTCAAGGTCATATTTCCATTTCTCTGTTTGAAATTGATATTTTGTTGAGTGATAGAGAGAGTAACTCTTAAGCAAAAGAAGTAATAGAAAATAGTAAACTGAAAGAAGCTTATAAATCATTGCTATCTAGTTTTTTAATTCAAGAACACTGTAGACGTATTGTTTATTTTATATGAATATTAACAAAATTCCAATATTTAACATAACTGAGAAATAAAATTGTGCTTGATGATCTTTTTTTAGTATAGTTTTATGTTCATATCTTTCCTTATTGATTTTTATTCGATAGTCTTTCCAACAACTTGTTTTTGTTCCTTAGTTTTCCGATGATGTTTTCGCACTTAATAGAATTCATTGAGAAATATACAGGAATAATACATTGATCCAATCGATAGTTTAGTCTTTTCTTTTCGTTTTATTGTCACATATAACAAATGTCTTTTGTTTTTGTAATTATATTCTTAATTTTAATAAATTACAAATCTTAATAATTTGAGTCAGTTATGAAACTGTTTCAACTATAATTTTATACTAACTTATGTACATCAAGGGTTCTTATATAAAAACTCTGAAAGAAAAAGATTTATTTAACAATGTTTGTGTGGAACAAAGGATTTGATTAAAAAATCATTCGTCGAGTCTTGAATATCCATTCTCTTTTTCTTTGTAAACCGCTGTAACTGATATGATCAGATCATTTCGCAGTTTACTGTCAAAATATATTTTGCATTATTTCGGAGAATTAATTAACTTCTATGATTTTGTATCCCATGTAGATATAAGAAGAAATCTCCGATATTTAAATCAACAGTATAAGTTTTCTTCTTTCATCGTCTCCTACGATCTTCATTTACCGATACTTATATATTCTTGTTATTCTGGATCAAATTCAACGTTCAATGTATTGAAAGTAACAAGAAACTGTCTTTCTAATTATTGTTGTGTCTGCAATGAATGTTTACTTATTCATTTCTTTTATTTTTTGTAATATTTGATTTTGAAAACATAATTAGAAACTGTTACTTAATATATTGTTAAATAAGAGAGAAACGGCAGAAGAGAGGAAGACTATTTATTAGTATAGCATTTGTGTTTTCTTAACATTCGAGCACACCACAATATTTTACTTTTTATTCTAAAATCGCATTGACACAATGGTAGATTCTAAGAAACGGATATTTTGGCATCTTACAATTAAAGATATATTATCTATTCTATGTTCAGCTGCTATACCCATAGCTCTTGCTATTTATACTGCAATTGGGTCTCAACAACAAAAACAACAAGATGAGAAAAAACAACAGTTTGATTTTGAACAATCAAGAGAATTAAGACAACAAACACTTTATGATGAATTTATAAATAATATATTTAAATTGGATAATTATGGTTATCTGAAGGAAAGAAAAAATCCGTGGGCATTTGCAAATGCATATTATCGTGCTGCTGATCGTCAATGGGATACAATGCGTAAAGCCGATGTTTTACAATTTCTCAAAGAAAAACAATTAATTGGCAGAAATAATTGTACCAATGGATGTAGAACAACAAAACTAGATGATATAATCCGTTTGAATAAGTTAAACTTTGATAATGTACATCTAGCAAGTCAAACAGGTGTATTAAATCAATTGGACTTAGAATGTGTTTCTTTTAATCAAGTATCACTGTCAAATGCAATATTTTCATTTGCTAGTTTAAATGGTGTATCATTTGATGGAGCACGATTAGATAAGGTGAAATTTGAAGATTCATCTTTACTTTGTGCTAGTTTTGATGGTGTAAATCTATCAGGAGCAGATTTTGGAAACTCAAATCTGACAGGTGCACACTTTTCAAACAGCGATTTGTCAGGAGCTAAAATAACGGAAGATCAAATAAAACAGGCAACGTTTGATCATAATGTAATAATGCCAAACGGAAAGAAGAATGAAGCTACATCCACAACGACAACGAAAAAACCTATAACACAAACAACAACAATAATAAAAATACAAATGTCGACAGCATCATCATCGTCATCATCATCAATCTCATCAACATCACCGATAACAACGGCATCATTGTCACCAATGTCCACTACAACAAAAACAACAACATCATCATCATCAACTACATCACGAACAACAATAACATCATCAGCTTCCACAACAAAAGCAACATCAACAATATCATCAACATCAAAAGGACCGACATCATTCACGACAGCAGCAGCAACATCATCATCATTATCATCTAAAGCACTGACATCATTCACGGTAGAAGCAACAACAGCATCATCATCAAAAGAACCGACATCATTCACGGCAGCAGTA